CCAAAAAGATTTAACCAAGGATACCGATGGGGAGGGGGGTAGCCTCTTGTAGGGGATGGGTCCAGTCTGGTCATCGTTGAAGCCACCTTCCTTCATGGGAGCTGGGCTCATTCATATCACTCATCTGCTGATTTGCGAATTGCCTCTCCACGGGGGAGAAAGACGCAGCTGCTCTCTCGCTCTCTCTCTCTCTCTCTCTCTCTCTCTCTCTCTCTCTCTCTCTCTCGTAAAGATTTACGGCCTCAGAAACTCTCCATAGAGGCACTGTGGGTTTGGGTTCTCTTGGTTTCATGCCTTGGTGGGGCAGTGGTTAACCCTGGTGGTGCAGTGGTTAAGCGTTCAGCTGAGAATCAAAAGGTCAGTAGTTCAAATGCACAAGTTACTGGCAGGCGTGGGAACCCTGGTGGCGCAGTTCTGCTCCGTCCTGCAGGGTCACTATGGGTTGGAACGGACTTGATGACAATGGGTTTGGAGTGTCAACACCTTCCCATCCTTCCCCCTGGGTCCCAGACTGGAAGGTAAGGCAGTGGCATTCTAGGGATCCCTTGATAAAGTCTTCCACAAGTTGCCTGCGGAGTCGACGGATACTGTAAACAGGACCAACAGGATCAAAAGATGTTTTGCAGGATAGACAATCACAATCATAACATTTGTGATTAAACAACAGAACGACATCAAACCAGAAGAGGGTGCCTTGGGCCAACGTTGATGCTCGACATGTGAATCTAACCTTTGGATGAAGGCAGAGAAGACTTGCCAAGCCTACAGATGGCACAGTGCTAATTCATAGAAGAGCTACACAAGGATTTTACCATCACGCTTAATTGTAAAACACTATAAATATTGCCAGTGGAAGGCAAGGGTGCCCAGTGTAACATTATATTAGGAGAGATAACAACAACATGCAATTAGGAGAGAGAAATAAAAGGTGCATAAGTATTGGGAAAGAATATTAGCAATTATATAATTGCATGCTTAGAAAAATCAAAACTGTGATAAAGGCTAGCACTTCAAACAAGTGTAAGCATTTAATCGTGCTGACTGTCCCAGACGTCATGCTAAACACATGCCAGCTTGACTTCACTGAAGCCTCATATCTGCTCCAACGAAAGGCTCCATGAGCTCAGGGACATCCCCCTTTTGTTCACCACTGTCACCCCCGTGCGTGGGAGAACATCCAGCACATAGCGGCTGCTTGTGTGCCACTGGACGCTGAAGCCCACAACAATGCTAGGGCAGGACCGCGTGGCTGCTTTACATGCAAGGCCAGGCCCACCAGGAGGATATCGTTTTGTGTCCATGTCACAGATGAGAAGATGAATTAACAACCCACAGGGGACCAACCTGCATTTGAACCTAGACTGTTGTGCTCTGATCCCCTTCTCTGGATCCCTCACACACGAAAAATGTTTGAACTGTCAGAAATGAATAGGGAGCTGATTACAGTGTCACACACCAAAAACCCAATAACTTTTAACTACATGAATACTAACCAGTTAGAAGATAGAATGAGAAAAATCCCACTTAAAATAGTAAAAAACATAAAACACTGAAGCAGAAATCTAGAAATCACATCTTTGTGGAGAAAACCGAGCCAAAGGAGATCAAAGAAAACTGGGATCAATTGAAACCCATGGATGTTTCATAGTAAGACTCAATAGTGTAAAGATGTCCGTGTTTTTCTACAGTTTTGACATGATTCCAATTAAAATAGGAGTCCCTGGGTAGTGCAAACGGTTAGTAGCACTTGGCTACTAACAAAAAGATTGGAGGTTCAAGTCCACTAGAGGCTCCAGGGAAGAAAGACCCAGCCACCCACTTCTAAAAGATCAAAGCTGAAGACAGTGCGGGACAGAGCCTCACTCCCACACACGTGAAGTCGGCATGCTTCGGACATGACTCAACCATACTGGGTCAATTCAGATCTACAGGATCTTTTGTGATAAAATATTAAAGCACATTACAAAAGGAGAGATAATAAATGCATAGATCCATGAAGCAGAATAAAGAAAGCCAAAGTACACATGGGAGCTGAACAAATAATAAAGGAAGTGTTTCACATCAGTAGGAAATTTTAAAATAAAACGAAGAACTGAGTTATTACTTTTTAATCTATTAAAGTAGGGAAGATCCACTTTATGATGTAAACCATTTAAAAAGTCACCTAGGAAAACTTTGAGAGCGCTGACTGTCCAATTCTTGTTTTTAAATATATGCTTTGCATGGCAGTAACTACCATAAACAAAGGCAAAGGACAAATGGAAAACTAGGGGAATATTTGCAACAGATGTTCATGGGCAGAAAGCCAACGGCCTTGTTCTATGAAGAGCTGTAACAAATCAATGTGAAGAAGAAAAACTCTTTGATAAAAAGAACTCAACAAGTAGTTCATAGAAAAAGCCATGTAAATATTTATCAAGACTTTTTTTCACTGTTCCAGCCTGTTGTTAGGGTTAGGTACTGTCAAGTCACTAGACTCTTAGTGACCCAATTGCAATAGGACAAAACACTGTGCAGACATGCACCGCCCTCACAGTCTGCTATGCTGGAGCCCCCTGTGGCAGGCACTGTGTCGATTTATTGCTTTTAGTGCCTCCCTCTTTTTCGCTAACCCTCTACTTAACCAAGAATGAGGTCCTTCTCAAGGGATTGGTCTCTCTTGATAGCATGTCTGCAGTGCAGGGAATTATTGGATGTGGCTCTTTCAGCCAGTTTCTGTAACTCCCACCTACCAGCCTTTTCCTGGTGAGTCTGGATAAGAGAAGGTGGGAAAAGACACTGGTAGGATTCAGTTGGAAGTGATGGTGAACAGAGTTACTTGAGCGTGCAATCCTGCTGGGTATAAAATGAACTCTCTCGGAAGCAAGAAGCAGGGATTTCACTGCCAGGAAGAGAGAAGAGCCAGGCGTGAAGCACATCCTTTGGACCTTGAGATCCCTGAGCACTGAACCTCCTTGATCCGGGGGGACTACCGTGACACCAGAGTAGTGGCAGAGGAGCAGCAGCAGCAGAACCAGGAGCCAGAGCATGAAAGTGGTGGACTTCCCAGCCCACTGAACAAGTGGGGCTGAGTGCCTTCAGGCAGGAGGCTGGCTTGTGGAGTGGGGTACCCCTGTGCACCTAATTGGGAGAGTTAGGTTTACTGACTGTGAGTCTGGGTAGACTAGAGAAACAAATCCATAGACATATGTGTATAAGAGAGTTTTATATACAAGAGCAGTTGAACATTGAGAAAACATCCCAGCCCAGTCCAGATCAAGTCC